TCGTTGGTGCTGCTGCTGCTGCTGCTGCTGCTTTGTTGCTGTGTCTTTCGTTGCTGCTGCTTCTCTGTGCTGCTGCGCACAGGGCTGAGCTTGCTGCTGCTGTGCTGCTGCTGCTTGGCGTGCAGCTGCTGCTGTTGCGGGCGGCCCAAACCCTAAATCCTAAACCCTAAACCCTAAACCCTAAACCCTTTGTTTGCCTTCGGGGTTTGCGCAGCTGTAAACCCCCAGTGCCTAGGGGCCCCCCTCTCTCTCGAGTGTCTCTTTTGGCTGCCTGCACTGCAGCAGCAGCAGCAGCAGCAGCAGCAAGCGCAGGAAGAGGACAGGATTAGAGGCAACATCGCTGTGCCTGTTTCCGCGTGGGCAGCGGCAGCGGGTGGGAGTTTAGGGTTTAGGGTTTAGGGTTTAGTGTTTAGGGTTTAGGGTTTAGGTTTTGGTCCTTGGGGTCTAGGGTCTAGGGTTTACGGTCTGCGATTTAGGGTTTAGGGTTCAGGGTTTGTACAAGGAATAGGCGCTTATCTTGTTGCTGCGCAGTTGGCTGTTCATTTCTGTTGCTGCTGCTCTTGCTCCTGCTGCTGTTGCTGCTGCCTTTGCTGCTGCTGCTGCTTCTGCTGCTGCTGCTCAGGGATCAACGCTGCTACCACGAGAGCCTCAAACCCCCAGTATATCTTATGGCCACCCACTACAGGCTCTGCTGCATTTGCTGCTGCTGCTGCTGATAGCAGCAGCAGGAGCAGCAGCAGCAGCGTGTCTAGCTGCAGCAGCACGACAGTGTCGTCTTCAGGAGCAGCCGGGGCAGCAGCAGCGCGCAGGCCGCAGCAGCAGCAGCAGCAGGCACTGCCAGCTGCAACCAGCAGCAGCAGCAGCAGCAGCAGCAGCTTGCTGGCCCCACAAGATGACCCTTACTGCCCCCTGTCTTATCCGGAAGAAAGAGTTTCTCTCTCTATGGAGCTGCTGATGCAGTCCCTTGCGTCAGCTGCTGCCATGGTGAGCCTCTAGGGTTTAGGGTTTAGGGTTTAGGGATTGCACTAGTTGCTCCTGCAGGGTCCTCCGTACCGGTTTAGGGTTTAGGGTTTAGGGTTTAGGCTGCCTCGCGTGGCGGCTGCGGGGGAAGCCTCTTAGCGGTGGAGGCCCGCAAGGGCGCCGAAGGCTGAACGCTAAACCCTAAACCCTTAACCCTAATTTGTGGTTTGCAGCAGGAGCAAACCCACACCGCGAGCCCCAAACCCCCGGACTGCTGCTGCTTAAAAGCTGCTGCGCTGCTGATGGTGCAGCGGCCGCTGCAGGTCACAACAGCTCTTATGGATTCTTTCATGTATGTGCAAATCGAGAACTCCACAGGTCCGCGAGGGTTTAGGGTTTAGGGTTTAGGGTTTAGGGTTTACGGTTTAGGGTTTGGGGTGGGCGGTTGGGGCTGGCGGCTGCAGTTTCGCCGGGATGGGGCTTTTTGCCTTGGCTGCGAATCAAAGGTTTGACGTTTAGGGTTTAGGGTTTAGGGTTTAGAGTTTAGGGTTTAGGGTTTAGGGTTTAGGGTTTAGGGTTTGGTCGCGCGCTTTCTCAGATTCAATCGCTGTGGTGGTGGAAAATGTCATATTAAGAAGCGTCAACTCAAACGCGCAAGTGAGACCTTGGCTCCTAGGGTTTAGGGTTTAGGGTTTAGGGTTTAGGGTTTAGGGTTTAGGGTTTAGGGTTTAGGGTC